ATATTCGGCATTCATTCTGATGTAGGGTTTGGGCTCGGGAATTCCCGTCCCAGATATTCCCGGGATTTCCCGATTTTTTTGACATCGATATTCCCGGGAAAGCGGGAAATTATATTTTTAAATATATATAAATACGGAATCAAAAATGTCAATGCTTGCCGTTGATCCATCCGTCGTATTATTTGTTATCGACAATGATTGAAGAAAAGCTGCTGGAATTATTTTTTGAAATCTACATTGTAGCAACCGTTTCAGGTAGGCGAACGTCATGATAAAATTTATTCTTAATGTCATATAGATGGGTTCCTTTGCTGGAATCATGCCGGATTTAAATTATTGCTGTCTTGAAAAATTCAATTTCACAGATATTACAAAAAGAAATAAGTGACCACCGTGACTTAAACTGTATATATCAACTACAGTTTTTAAGAGGCCCAAAAAGTTTGGGGAATACGAATTTGCAAAAAAAAAAAAAAAAAAAAAAATCGCAAAGGTGTATGAGGAAGATATTTAGATTTTCAATGAAGTGGAATCTGGTCACCTAGTAGTGATTAAGATACTTAAAGGCATAAATGTTTTGAAATTAATTAAGGATTGCAAAGTCAACCCCTATAAGATCAAAACCTTGTCACAGTAGTTTTTTTTAAAGAAATAAGCTTTATATAAAGTGAGTAAAAATCCATCAAAAGTGGGAGAATATGTTCAATTATATAATATAATCAATTTCCAAAAACATACTAAAATACTTTTATTTAAAAGTGAATTCTTAATTATTTATTTTTATGTGTTATTGTAGAACGTACATTTTTTATTATTCTAATTATTTAATTAAAAATATATCATTCCTGCCCTTTAATATTTATACTTACAAAGGTTGTGAAAATTCCCGGGAATGAAAATTCGTAATTCCCGATTTCCCGGGAATGAAAAAAAGTCGAGAATTCCCAAACCCTATTCTGATGCCACGGCCGATTAATACGAACGGACAGCGCCCTGCCCTTTAATATTTTTACTTACAAAGGTTGTGAAAATTCGGAAAACCGAAAAAAATTGTAAAAAATATTATGAAAGAAAAATTTGCATTCCCAAACACTATTATGATGACACTGCCGATTAATACGGACGGACAGCAACCATCGGCTGTTATGGCGGCCCACACCATCACCATGACCGGCGCTTGAGTTCTGGTGGCCAACCGAAGGTGGACATTTTCAGCTGACCTCTTTGGCATGTAAACATGTTGCGGTGTATGTTCTTGCACTTTTTGGAATTTCAATGGCTTTAACCCGAGCTCATTTTTCAATGTTTGCCGCATGGAATATTGCGATATGTTCAGCTCAAGAGCCATTTTCGGCCCCTGCGACGCGGGTTTCGATCAAGTCGCTTCTTTACTTTTCGAACCATTTCTGCTGATGTTGCTGTTTTCTTCCGTTCACTTCGACACAAAAGATTTATTCACATTTAAATGCTGGAGTGCTCTACCGATAGCCACTTGTGGTTTTCCAGTCAAATATAAAGAAATCACACTATCACGCTTGAATTCCAGTACGAATAACTTTTTTTTTTGAAAATTCTCACCAAAATGCTTTTGTACGCGTGTGAACAATATAATGAGCTGTTACTGGAATAATAACAGCTGTCGGGCGAGTGGCTTAGAAATGGCAGCTGTCTGAAGCTGGTTACAGAACGGACATATTTTGCATGGCTACGAAAATATACAGCCTTATTCTGGATATTCGCTAGGGAGATATCTCACTTGTGAAAAATTATTCGCTTCCCACCTTATTCTGAATGAATCGGTAGAAGCCGAAAATGCGAGATGCGGATTCAAATTTTCGAAAATTTTTGAAAAAAATAATATCTATTTTAGTTTTTCGTTGGTATGCGGCTCATCAGGGAATTTGGTTTTTCCAAAATGTTTAATATATTTTCTTGTGACAGATCCTCACCCAAATGTCTGTATTTCGCCTCCATATTGCCTTTATACATTCCATGGCAATATTTGGTTGAGCATGCGTAGTTATCAATAGGATTTCCAATGACATTGTATTTGCTGTTTATGTATTAAAAATATGCATACAAGCATTTATAATATTCGAAATTGTCTTAGAATAAGTATTTTAATTTTTAGACTTCCTACGTTTTTTTTTTTTTGGGTTAATAGTTATTTTTCGTATACATACTTACGGATATGTACGCAGCTTAGGCATAATAAAACAATTAACATTTATGCAACGCGTACTATGATTTTAGCTTTATTTGTTATATATAAAAAAGTAATAGTAATGATAATTATACATATATAATATATTGTAATTAACACAAAGAGAGCAAATTATTTATCACAAAAATTAAATTATGAAATATGTAGTATATTCAGATCAATGTTTTTTTATTTATGTTATTTAAAAAATAATATTTAAGGAAATGTTTTCAAGATTTGAAATGCTCAAACACATCTGAACCTTATTGCTTGTAAACATTAATGTTATCAATGTGTATTCAATCATTGATTTTTTTTAATAAAAAAATCTTATTATATTTTGCAAATTATATAAAATAAGATTATATTTATGATTTGAAAACTATTTAAGTAAAAAAAGCTTTAACGTATATTTGTAACTCTAATAAACACATATCTTAAACGGCAATCAAACGAATTTAAATGTGTTGAATCTAATTTCTTTGTTTGTGTTTTATTTATAATAAATAAAATTGTTGGTGTACATGAACTTACGATTTATGTAAAAAGGTTTTATATTCCCAAGAACATTTCACAAACACCTCTAATAAAATGCGATTAATTTAAATTAATTCGCAATTTATTATTTCACTTCATAATTGTGTGCCGTTTTATTTAATTTCAATATTTTATCTCTCACAAAATGTCATCACATTCTCGCACTCCCTGTAATCCAGAATAACTAATGTTTGCCCAAAGCGATTTTTTCGCTTTCGAACTTCAATCAGAATAAGGCGAAAGTGAGAATGCGAAAAAAATCACTGTGAAAAGTTGTTCAGAATAAGTCAAAGGGGAAGAGCGAGTAAAATCACGTGGAATTGACATCAAGAATAAGGCTATATATGTATTATAGGAAAAAAGTACAACAAAAGATCTTCGGCATATCAGAAAGGGTACACAAGGTTATAAAAAGGCTCATTAGTGATGCCATATCAGTATGAAAACGTAACAAAGAGCAAATTTTTGACATTAGACTAGAGAAAAAACAGCTGACTTTCGCTAGTTGGGTGACCTTATTAATAGATCTTAATAGAATCGGCGTGAAAAATATTTGCCTTAAGGATCGAATTCCCTTCGAATATTCATGATTGGGCCGATAAACAAGGCTTTCTTTAAAGTGTTCCAAATCTAATCCTATACTCATCATTACGGACTTATTCCGATTTTTTATTGTTAAAGGTTTTAATTCTTGTTAGATACTGGGACCGATATTGCTTTATACAATAAAAAAAAAACTTCTGAATTGGAATTCGCACCAAATGAAACACTAACGTCAGGAGTTGGAATTCATGCCATGTATGGGGTCTATAGACATAAGGCTGAGTGCGGTGATCCAAAAAATTACAACGATCGGAATGTTTCTCTATACGAAACAGAACTTGGTGGCGAATTCGGTGATTTGGTCCCAGGTTTGATAAAACCCAAAAGTCGTGTTTTTAGTCAAAGGCAAAAATTGAAAAGTTTAACAGTTGACTTCCTTATTTTCAGCAGATCCATTGTCGAGCAAACGCATTAAGACTTTTCTAATTATTTTGATTATAAACTTTATGAGGAATTTGCAGAACATTTTTTTGAAAAATTATTTTCCTATAAAATTCACAATTATTCAGTTTTCACATTAAATGATATTCAAAACTTATTGGACTTATTTTTTTTTGTAAAGATTCAGACCTTAACAATTTCATATAAAAAATCAAATTACGAACATTTTTCTAGTTTGAAGCAAGTTTAAATAGAATAATTTATTTGCTTTTATAAATATGAAAGGGAACAATTTCAAAATCGACAACATTGTTGTTGTGTCTATTTTATTTTTTCTAAGATTATCTATTCGTTAGATCATCGTTCGATAACACATGAATAAATCACAATAAAAAATAATTAAAAAAATAGAATTCTTTTTTGTGTTTTAAAGTCTTCGGAAAAAATCACTATCACTGAATGTACTTAGTTAATACTTAAGTTTTGAATTGTTTTAGTATTTCAAAACAAACTAAATTGAACAAAAACAAAAAATGTTAGAACATCACTTAAAACAAATAAAATTAAGGATTTGCCTAAATTGAAATGGGGGGTTGTTATTTTGGGTTCCATTAATTTGTTTTTCTTTTTTTTTAAGATGACCTTAGTAAATTTGTGTAATGTTATGTATGTATGTGTGTTCGTTTATTATAAATATTAATGCATATTTTCTATATATGTATGTATTTTGTTTTGTCTTAGATTTTTTCTTTTTCTGCATGAAATATTTAATTAATTAATTGTTTTTATTGTTGTTTGTTTTTCATTTACTTTTAAAATAGTTTTGTTTGTATTATATGATTTTCATTTAATATAATTCATATTTCATTAGCATTATTCTTTTTGAAAATAGTTGTTTTTTTTCATTAAGATGTTTTTTTGTTATGTTTTTAATATGTATTAAATACCAGGAAAAAATATATAAATTATAAATAATAATTTTCTTAAAAGATAAATAACACAGAATTTAAATCAAATTATAATAATAAAATTATATACTAATAATAAAAAAAAAATAATAATAAATTTTATAAAGCAAAAAATTATATATAACAATAATAATTAATTTGGTTTTGTTGGTTTGTTTTTTATCTCATTATTCATAAATTCATTTGAAAATTATGAAAAAGAAAAATAAATTAAATTTATAAAAAAATGTGTGTGTTTGTTGAAATGCTTCGTTCTCATTCGGGGTTTTTTTCCAAATTTCTTGTGACGTAGAGTTGTTCTTGTTGTAATTTAATTTTCTGGAATGGTCGTTAGAGTCTTTGAAAGCGAAGAATTTACACTGGCGTTATTATCCGAGTTAACACTGTTGTTCAGTGTTGTATTGGCCGATCCTCCGGCTGTGGTGTTGTTGGCACTTTCATCTAAAAATAAATCAATTTCGGGTATTGGGTCACGCCAGTAGTTGAAGTTGGAGAATTCAAATGCTGCTGCCTCGTCGGGTTTGATGGGCGGAAATAGTTGATCAACAATATAGGTCATACTGCAATAGCTGAAATTATAAGAAAATTATTGGAAGGTTTATTATAAGACTTTAAGGCTTGGGTTTTATTTTTATATGTTTTGAGGTTACAATTAAAAAATATATATTTATATACATAAATGTAATAAAATATTAAATATAAATTCTATTTTTTAAATGGTCAAGTTGTGGAATTTCATATCCTTATTGTTTCCATTGGGAATGTAGGAATGCTCGTCGGCATTACCAAAAAATAGGAAAACTTTCGATACATTTTTTAGAACAAGGGGAGTGAAGTCTAGATATAAGGACAGGATGAACTCAGTGGGTTATAAACTGCTCCCAACACCTGTTTGAAATACATGAGCACCATATATCTGTACAGGGAATGGGATTTGCACTTTGTGAGGAAGGAGAGAAAATAAAATAGACCAATATATCGTATAAAAAGAAATTTCTAAGTAAGACCAAAATATCAACTTATAAAAGGGCTTCGTTAAAGAGATGATGAAGATATAATGAGATATCATTAACGCTCTCAAATTTGCGTTTTCCTTTAGAAAAAACTCAGAAAACTGAGAGGAATACATTTTGATTAACACTTCTTACTAGATTTTGTAGAAAAAGAAATAGAAAAATATTTAAAAATTGCTTAAAATAAATTGTTGGTTACAGCCGCTCAAATATGTTTCGATCGATCAAGGCCAGGGTGAAAAAATTTATCACATACGTAAACCGGCTTTTTATTTTTTATTCAATACAACAAATTATGTCTTTTGAAAATGGTATTTACCCTTCCCTTATTTTCTGAAAGAAAAATTAACAAAATCTCACAAATAGAAAAATTGCATAGCAAAAACAAAAAATAGTCAATATGTGACGCATAAAAGAAAGTTTACAATGCAAAATTAATATATAAATAGATATAATAATATAGATATTAATACTTTGTTTGCTTCCCATTTGCTTGAATTACAGCCTGTAATCTTATCGGCATCGAATTGACTAAATTGTCGCTTACTTCGCGTGAAATTTTTTACCATTCCTCCATTATAACCGATTTGAGCGAATCCTTGCTACGAATTTCTTTCTTTATTAATTTACGATCAAGATATTCCCACAATTGTTCGATTGGATTGAGGTCCGGAGATTGGAGAGGGTGATCCAATTGCTTAGGAGTGCGATAAAGCAGTCATTCCTAACCTATTTATGAAGTATGCTTTGTATCATTGTCTCGTTGAAAGATCCAACCTCGATGCATGCGTAACTTTTCAACACTAGACTTCAAATTTTATTTTAAAATGTTAAGGTATTCCATTTTATTCATGGTGGTTTCTATGAAAAACAAGTACCAACCAAATCCACCAGCTGTCATGCACCCCAGACCATCACTGAACCTCCACCGTGCTTTACAGTGGATAATAAAGAACTGTTCGGCAAATTTGCTGGTTTCCTTTTCCAAAAATTTCAAACTTGCTTACGCCGCAAATTATTATATTATTCCAGAAAGAAATATATATTTTTATATTTATTAGGAAAATCGATTCGACGTTTTTGGTTGGTTTTGGATATTAAGGGTTTTTTTCTTGGAACCCTTCCATGAATCCCATTAGCGTGTAGTTCTATTATACTGACACTAAAAGTAGTTCCAGATGATTCTGAAATGGATATTTTAACGCCACTTTCTACTGGGGGTTTCTTTACATTTCTTACAATCGATGGTATTCAGTTTAGTTTTTTTTTGTTTTGTTTCAGTTTTTTTGGCCTGCCACATTTAGGACGATTTTCCAATTTTTTCAAATAAGAAATTAAAAAAAAATATGACCGGTCAAGAGAGAATACGTCATTCTTGACTCTATTCAATAAGTTTTGGAAAATTTCGTTTAATAAAAAAGAAAAGAAAAATGTATGCCAAAAAAAGTTTCGTCCCATTCGGATCATAAAGGTGAACTGTAACTTTTTTAAAATAATAAATGGACTCAAAAAGTAATTCGATGTATATACTAAAAAGTAACTATGGGTCTATCTCGTTTCCATTTGGATGTTACAAACACATGTACCAAGACATAATGCCCTGTGCCACAGTGTGGTGAAGGATATAAACACACTTTTGCACAAAAATACCAAACAAAATGAACAGTTGACTTCTATTTTAGATGTGTTTTCTGTTTTATTGATATTATCGATAAATAGTCGACATCGTCGCATGAGTGTTACAGAATACCAAATTAATGTCAAAGTGATGTCGATGCGAAGTGATGTCGACGAAGAAACGTCGTTGACAACGACGACGACTTACGGAATAGGGGTGAATATTTAAAGCATATTTTTAGGAGCTCTAAATTTTTTTGCATCGTTTATTATTTTCAACTTTTTATTTTTATGTATAGAGGAAAAAACTGGAAGTTGTTCAATATCTATTGGCCTTAGGACATATCTTATAAGAAAATATATAATTCATGCAAGAAAGCCCATTAACAATTTTATGATCTTTTTTTTTAATAAAAATTATTTACAAAATATTCTGTATTTGGCTATAGCCTCTATCATAGTATAAAGGATATATTATTATTTTTAAAACATTTTTTTAGGAGCCATATTTAAAAAAATTAAATTAATAAAAAATCTAAAAAAAATCCTTATAAAAAATTAAAATATATAAAATATATTTTGAATTGAAATACATACTTTGTTTTGAGGAATGTGAGTTAAAATATTTGATTTATTCACAATATACACGTTTCATGATACTTTATATATATATATAATATATATATAAAATTTCTATGAAAAAATTGATTTTTTTTTCTTTTCAAAAAATTAACGTCTACATACAATAATATTCTCTGAATAGTTTAACACATAGAAAATTTTTTAAAGCATATCTTAAGGAGCTCAAAAACGGTAGATCGTGATTATTACTTAAAAAAATCTATATAACGTTTTTGCAGAAAATTTAACTATTCGTTGTTAATTTATAAATTATGTTTCTAGTACTAAAACATTGCCTTTTCAATTTCAATTTTTTTGGAATACTGAAAATTTTGAAGCATATTTTTAGGCGACATTTTAAACATAATTTTAAAAATGACTTTAGTTCCTGAATTTTTGAAGCATTATTTTAGGCGCCATTAAAAAAATAGTATTTTAATTCATAGTTTATAACCTCCTATTGCAATTGCTAAATAAATTGTATTCTTACGAATTTTTACATTTTTAAATATATTTTGTAGCATATTTTTAGTCACAGTTTTAAGAAAATGTTAAAAATCTTTATTTAAAAGCATATTTTTAGGGTTTTAGGCAGATTTAAATTGCAAAGATTTTTGAAGTAACCTTGTAGTTTGAAGAAAATTATAACAAATATGTATTTTATAAAATATTTGTATTCGCATTTTTGCTTTGCAATCAGATTCAGATGACCTTCGATTTTGTAGCATATTTTTAGGCGCAGTTTAAGATATAATTTCAAAAGCGTTTGTGCGAATATAAAGCCGATTTTTAGTGCTTCATTTATATGGATAATTAAAATATAATTGTTATAATTTTTATTTACATATACATAGATAATAATTGGCATAGAAGAAACAAACGTAATCTATTTAAAATAAATTATTTATAAAAAAATATGTTTCCATTAAAATAAAATAAAACAAACAAAAAAGAAAAATTTTGAATAATTTTATTTTACCAAAAACAAATGTCATGGCTACATTTTCTTTTTATTAAATTCAAATAAGGAGACACAGCTCTAGGCTACATAAACTTATCAACTAAATACATATAAATCATCACAATGTTAAAAATATTTATTTACAAGAATATACATATTTATATAAAAATATGTATATGTATTGAGGGGAAGTTTTGGGGATGTATATAACTTCCATATGTACATGTTTTATGTACACACATTATATATTTTGTTATAAACTAGTGATTACAATAGGGCACTTTTGTTCCTAGAATATTAAGGAGGGGTATAAAAATAAACTGTTATAAACTATTGATTACAATGGGGGATTTGTTCTAGATAATATTAAGAAAGGGTATAAAAATTAACTAAGAAACCCTGGTAAACCTTTTTAAAGATTTATTTTTTTTTTTTTTTTTTTTTTTTTGCAAAAAAAAAAAAGGAATTTAGAAAGGTACTGAATGTAACGCTTCTTGCTTGTGTTTACTTATATAAAAATACAATATTTTCTTATTGCACGCATATATTGTATATAAAGTAACATTTAAACTTAACAAACGTAAGAAATACAAAAACTAATTAATAACTTAACTAATTAACTGTAACTAGTAAATGATTTCGTTTACCGACAATACTTTTTGCTTACGTTTAGTTGTTTTCTAAACACAAACATCGGAAAAACATACATATTGTATTTCTTTATAGATACCATTATATATGTGGACACAGAAAAAATAAAAACATTAGTTTATAACACTTACAGATCTATAAGGATAAAAGCAATTTAATTGCATACTAAAAAACCAGGTAAATAAATATCACAATTTTGTTGGTGTTAGTATTACATATTAGCATGTTTTTATATAATATAGGTAGGTTTGTTCCTTGAAAACTTGCTCCATCTGCCTCTCACAGAAATTGAGGGCATTTATAAAAGTGTTCCATGTTTTTTTGTTTTCAATTTCCCTTAACACACCGATGAAGTATTATTTAATATAACATCATTTTTATTGTTATTATTTAATTGTGTATAGGTGTCACTGCTGTGTATGCTGTTATTATTTGTGTTGGCCGTTTCCATGGAGGTACTATTCATACTTGTTGTCTCGGAAACATCAATGACAATACCATCATCCTCATCTAAATATTCATCACTAAAGATGTCCTCCTCGTCACTTTCGGTATCGCTGAATTTCAGCTCCTCCTCTTCTTCGTCATCGTCAAAGACATCGGTTTTATAATCGAAATCATCGTCGAGGGCAGGGAAATATTCATCAACTTCGAGAGATTGATTGATGTAACCACTGCATATTGGCGACAACGGATATAGAGAGTGGGTGGTTGTTGTCATGATAGGTAGGGTAGAGGTTGATCAATTCGTGATCAAATAATACATTTGAAAATTAAGAACGTAATAATTTTGAAAAAATAAAACAAAACAAAGGAAAAATAAATTTCGAAACATAGAGTTTAAGAAAATAAGTAGATCGTTTTTTTTTTATAAATAATATCGATAGCAATTGTAAAGTGGAGATATGAAGCGTAAAAAATATATAACATAAAACAAGAGATTCATACAAAATAATAATAGTAATTTGGAATTTAAATTATGGAAAATCAAAAACATATTAAAAGAATCAAACAATAAGAAGGGAAACAAAAATGTAATTATAAAATTTTGAAGTGTTACAAAAATAATTTTTTTTTTCGAAACATTTAAATTTAAAAGATAGATTTATTAAAAAATCATTAAAAATGATATATAATCGTATGGTACGGTTGTCAGGCAATAAATATTGCAATACTGTTATTAAGAACTAGGCATTGATGTATGTTTCACTAAATTTCAAAATTGGTGGTAAGACCTTGCAAATCGGGCGGTATATGGAAGCTATACCAATATGCGAACTTAAATTGCTGACATTATGTACACATATATAAAAATATATATTTGAAATTGTATGTACAACAATTAATTGATTTCTTCAGAGAATATATGTGGAATAGTTTCCAATTTATTTGGAAAAGAAAGTACAAATTTTTATCAAAATAGAAATTTGCTGGATGTACCCATAGATAATTTTTTTACAAATAAATATCCTACAAAAAGGTTTTCTTTTGTAACCAGTTATGAAATTTGATGTAGAATAACATTGTCTTTGATGAAATACTCCTAAGATGTAGTCTTATTGAAGATTTTGGCATATATCTGCAAGGTGTTTAACATTTATTGAAGGCAACACTGAATTTGTTGCCCAAATAGTTAATTTTATACAGTACATTTCTAGAAAAACTATTGAATTTAAATAAATAGTTTTGTTTGAGACTTATATTGAAATTTGATGTAGAATATTTCATACTTTAACACTATATACGAAAAATTAAGTTTCATATTAATTTCATACTTTTTTATTCAAAATAAAAATCTACAGAAAATTTGTTGTATATACCCAAGTTAGAGATAATTTTTTTACAAATAAATATCGATATTACAAAAATCTTCTCTTTTGTAACTATTAGTGAAATTCGATGCTGAATCATTTGTCTTTGACGAAATACTACTAAGATGTAGTATTATTGAAGATGGACATATTTGAACAACGTGCTTAATTAACACTTACTGAAGGCAACAACGAATTTCTTGACGACATAGATAATTTAATACTTTAAATTTCTAAAAAAAAACTATTGTATTAATATACAAAGTTTTCTTTAGACTTATAAAATTGATGTAGAATATTTCATTATCTGACACTATGCACGAAAAATTAAGTTTCATTTTTAAGTTTTCATACACTTTATTGGTAAAAGTCCTGGGAAATTTCTATGAAAAAAATTATAATTTTTCGTCCCAAATCAACGTCTACATATTCTGTGTATATATTATATAAACAGAATTCGCTTGTTCAGTGACTTATACTAAAATTTGATGAAGTGACTTATACTAAAATTTGTCTTTTATACTAAAACGACACCTAGTGGGAAAACTTGGTACAAACTGTATAGTTTTTAATCTTAAATGAGTTTTTCATATTTTTGACGTTTAGGCTGACATTTTGGTCATTTCTGAGACTCATAGTAACATTTTATTGCGAATTTGTAGAATATTATGACCTGCTATAACCCCATATTAAATGAGTTTTCAATCATTTCTGGAAAAAGGACCGAAAATACACATTCAGGGAGTTGATTGATGGTAAACGTATTAGACAATAATATTGCTGATGTATAGATAGTGCCAAATACAACTAAAATGCAGGGGTTTCGAGAAATCCTAATCCGATTATTTTCAAATTTCTTAAAATGGGTGAATATTACCTCACCTCTTTAGGTTACCTCCCGACATAAACTTTTTAGTTTTCTGTCCCAGATTAACGTCTACATATTATGTATATATAATATATATACAGATTTCTTTTGTTCAGCGACTTATACTAAAAATCGATGGAGAATATTTTTGTCTTTAGTATCATTGTTCTAAAATGACATCTAGTGGGAAAAATTGGTACGCACTCGGTATAAGGTCGTTTTTAACCTTAAAATTAGTTTTCTTATTTTTAAGATTTTTTGGTCTTTTGGTCTCTTCTAAGGCTTATAGCAAAACTTTATGGCTAAAATGCAAGAGTTTCGAGATATCCTAATGCGATTATTTTTAAATTTCTTAAAATGGATCTCAGCTTTTTAGGTTACCTCCTGAAATAAACTTTCAAAACGCCAACACACGTGTCTTCTATTTATAGCTGAACTTTCATAATCCGTTGGAATTTCCTGATAATTGTCAAAAAAGTTTAAATTTCTTGCAATCCCTGTATTTTGATTTTCCATATTTAAACTCCGTTTTTACATATAAATAGACATTGAAAAAATTTCGCATACATGAATGTAACTTAAAAACTAAAACTTTGCTTTATAATGACAGTTTTTTAATAATGTGGTGGATGTGATGATTATTACAATAGGATAGGAGGCGAGAAAAAGAAATTAATGTAATAATTTAAAAGAAAATTATAATTTTTTTCTAGGTTAGAATAACTAACCTCTAGTTGGTTGGTTTAATACATTACAATTCGATTACGTTTTTGTTTGTTTCTTCTTTTGTTTCTTGGCCAATTATATTAAATGAGAAGTAATGTGTTTTTTTTACATATATGACACATACTCTACCATGTTTATGTTAACCTAACCAATGGTGGGATTTAAAAAATATGTGACAATACATTCAAACACCTGTTACAAAAAGATACATATATAATCTTACAAAACTAGGTTATATATAGAGAAGGCATTCAATTGGTAGCATTTTTAGATTATGACTATTAATTGTGTGGTTTTTCGTTGTTGTTGTTGTATTAAACAGTACACCAGGTGAGTGTGTGTGTGGTTATGTTGTAGTTTTTTTTTTCATAAATGAAATGCTATGCAGTAGCACACAACAACAAATCGTACAAAGGCAGACTTTTTTGAATGTTTAATAAATATAAATACATAAAAGAAAGGTACTTACGAGGATTGGAATGTTTGTGTCAACTCATGTTTTAATTCTCCTTTGGTATTTATTGTGAAAATACGCTTAATGGGTATGCCAACAGCACGATAGGCCCAGACATCCTGAAATAGAAAAAAAAAACATATATATTTTCCCAAAACCATAAAATCAAGTAGAAGAAAAACCGATACTCACATTTATACGATTACCATAACCAGCATAGAAGGGATCTTTGTTGGGGAACAAATCCCTAATATCCGATAGACAAGCAATTTTAAATTGTTCAGGTTTTCGCTCTATCACCTCTCGATGGAAGGCTGAGATCAATGATGTTGGATTTAGCAGTAAGGGGCCATCGGGCAGCTTTACATCACCCTGACGTATTGATCGTAAATATTCACGTGTTGCCCTCGATTGACCAATTGCACGTGCCGACAAATATAATAGCTTATAGCCATTTTGTTCAATTTTTGAGAAGAGTTGGGCGACACCCAATTGAGCCCAATCCTTACCAACCATTGGTAAAATGTGACCCAAAACATCTGATTTGGTGATGGTGCCATCAATATCAGATATAACAACTTTATCACTGTGACGCCAACGGAACAAATAACATTTGCAGCGTGTTGTACCCTGATAGGCGGTTGTAACACTAAATTCAATTTCATTCATACCTTCTTTGAGGTTAAGTTTTTTCTGAAAGGAAAAAAGGAAAATTATTAAGAAATTTCAATAGATTATTAAACGAAAGAGATCTAAAAATATTATTAAACGAAAGAGATCTAAAAATACAAGACACGTTTATCGGTGTTTTAAAAGTTAACGTCATCGTAACCTAAAATGCCAATATTTCCCCATTTCAAGAGATTTGAAAATATTCGGATTTGGATTTCTCGAAACTCTTGCAATTTTTTGGGCCCTTTTTCCTCATTTAAGACGAAGTTATATCATGTCAGTATTTTCTACAAGAATGTTCGCCATAAAATTCTATTATAAGTCTCAGAATAGACCAAAACTCAGGAATCAGTCTAAATGTCAAATATCTAAAAAATATGAAAACTCATTTTAAGGTTAAAACCAAGTTTATGCCTTATTCCGAGTTTATGCCAATTTTTTCCACTAGATGTCATTTTAGAACGATGATACCAAAGTCAAAATTATTCTCCATCAAATTTTAGTATAAGTCTGTGAACAAGAGAAATCTGTACATAAAATATATATACGGAAAATATGTAGACACTAATTTAATAAAAAATTCAAATGTTTTCATAGAAATATCCTAATACTTCTTTCAATAAAGTGTCTGAAAGTAACATGAAACTTAATTTTTCATGTGTAGTGTTAAAGAATGAAATATTCTACATCAAATTTCAATATTAGTTTCAAAACAAACTATGCATTTAAATTAAATCATTTTTCGAGAAATTTACAATATAAAATTAATAGTATTGGCAACAAATTCGATGTTGACTTCAATAAGTGTTATTTGAAGACCTTGCAGATATACACCAAAATCTTCAATAAGACTACATCTTAGGAGTATTTCATCAAAGACAAAATTATTTTACATCGATTTTCACTATTAGTTGCAAAAGACAAGATTTTTGTAAACACAATATTTATAGTAAAAAAAACTTTTAATTACTTTTTAACTGTCGTAACAAATTGATAGATTAGGAACAATCAGATTTCAACGATCACTATAAGATATATTACAAATATCCTAACAAAAAAATTGTTATCAAATTCGAATCATCCTTCCAATTTATACAATCTTCAATAGACCCTCAAATTTTCCGTATTTTGAGGATTTTAGAAAAAAACCCTCAAATTTTATGTTCATTTTAAAAATGTATTGTATTCAAATCTTACTTCAACTCATCTTCTATTTATATCGTACGTTTTTCGTTTTGTTTTATTCCTTATGCCTTTCTTTTTTCGCCTTAAGGTTTGACAAATATATTTAAAGATAGTAGCTTCCAATTTTCGGTATTTTGAAAAAATCCTCAAATTATATCTTCATTTTAAAAGTTTCAATATTCAAATCTTATTTAATCTCATTTCAGATTTATATCGTACTTTTTCGTTCTGTTTTTCACCTTAAGGCTAACAAATATATTTTTACTTACAATTGCTTCCGAGCTGAGACGCAATGATTTCTTATAATGTTCATTTTTATTTTTATCCCCAGTCGATTCACTCTTTGAAGAGGCTTGTGATAAATCTTCCATATTCTCCATAATGGCTGAGGTATTTTCAGCATTCATTGTTGAGTCGGTTTTGCTAAGAGTACGATCACTTAAATCTGGGGAATTAGGTCGTGATGTTTGGGTGGTGGCCACAGCAGTTTGATCTAAGTCTAAAAAAATAAAAACAACAACAATATTTTAGATTATAACTTATAAATATTTTTAGTTCAAATTTAAAACTTACTCTCTTGCTTGTCTTCAATTTTAACCGATTTCTGGCTATTGACTGGGGCCTGATTGACATTTTGCGAACGGCGCCAATACCACCAGGAACGTTTGGCTTGATTTTGTGTGCCAGTTGGAGTACCAGCTTCAGTATCAGTTTTATTGGCAGCAGCCTCGGCCTCAGCAGCAGCTGCGGCGGCAGCATCTGCCTTGGCATTAACCATTAACTGTTCAATGGCATCCTTTTTTTGGTTGAGGGGTGAGGGAGGGGAAGATTGTAAATATTAAAATTGGAAAATTTTTCAAATTAAAATTGCAAAAAATGCAATCAAGTGCAAAGGAAAGAGTTGTGTAATTCTTTTTCGAATTCGAATGATATAAATGTATGTATTGTGTGTGTAGATATATGAAAAGCATAGAGTATATATGTGTATATGTATGTATTTATAATATATATAACAAGACAATAACATATATATGTATATGTAACTTACATTAGTCAAAGGCTTCTGGAAAGTTATAATGGTCATGACAATTGGACATGCAGCCGCCCAGCTGTAATATTTACCATTAAGGCGGACCACTAAATTTGGTGATGAGAAAATGCTGGGATTTTCACAGACCTTTTGGTAGAACGTAGAACGAGCGGATTCACATTTGTTTGAAAAGTGGCACATCATGATATTCATTTTTTGGTTTTGTTTTATTGTTTTTTTTTCACCAATAAGACAATTATTTTGTTCATTGAAAAAGAGACGGGAAAGTGGGGAAAATTGGGATATTTGTTTAAACGTTAGTTAGTTTTGTTTGCTTTGTATTTTATATAAATGAGTAATTAGTATTAATTGTTGTTTGTTTTTAGGTTAATATTGTTTCTTTTAAATGAAATTTGCAAACTTTACTACTAATATTTCATACACAACAATGTTTTAAATATGTAATTTGTTTTTAATTTAAAATGAAGTAAAATTTATTATTTTTTAATTGTTATAAAATTATTATACTTTAATTTTTATAAAATTTATTAAAATAAATTCATTATCAATATTTTGATAATTTATTTATTATATTAATATATATTTAATTTTTGTCAGTTTGAGCAAAAATTATTTTGTGTATTTTTTTATATTAACATATATTTTTTTTATATATTTAGATCAAACAATTTTAAATTAAATTTTGGTGAAAATAAACGAAATTAAGTGGTAATAATTAATTTATAACAATCTATTATTAGATTTATAAAAATCTATTAAATATTTATTTTATCAGAAATATTTCTTTAACATGTTTTGAATTATTTTTTAATTAATTTAAATAAAATTTTATGTAAATTAAAGTGTATTTTATATATATTTGGTATTTAGGTATTTAGTTTATATGAAAAATTATAAAATTTTGTTATAAAAATAATTTATTGTAACATAACCTCAAAATTTATCAAAATCATTTTGGCCGGTCTTTGTAAGAAATTTTGTGATGGTGCCAAAAAATTTTTAAACAGATGTTCATACCCTCCATAATACGGCGAAATATTGTGAGGTCTAAAAAGAGGTCTATAGAGCACGAGCAAAATAACCTAGAAGCTACCTTTATGGGCGTAAAAAGGAGGAGAATTGCTATGACATAGTATTTGTTATGGATGACAATTGCGGATATAATGGCGACTATAATTGATTCGGGCCCGACATTTTTATACCCTTCACCACACTGTGGTACAGGGTATTATGTATTTGTGCATATGTTTAAAACATGCAAAAGGAAACGAGATAGAACCATGGTTTCTTTTGAGAATATGCATAGAATCACTTTCTGAATCTATTTATGCATGTCGGTCCGTCTGTACGTCAGTCCGTCTGTTGATTTTAAATTGTAAACAAAGTACAGGTCGCTTTTATAATTCGAATTGGATGAAATTTAGTGCAGCTAATTTATTTGGCTCAAGGACGAACCCTATTGAAATTAGTGAAAATGGTTTCAGATTTTGATATAGCTCTCATATATATATTATCGTTCGATTTGAGGTAAATGGTGCGCCAAATTCCCTATATAACTTTCGATTTGCACGAAATTTTGCACAGCGTATTGAATTAAGTCTAGAATGATGTGTGATAAGATTCATGAAAATCGGTTCAGATATAGATATAGCTCCCATATATATTTTCGTTCGATTTGAGATAAATGGTGTACTAGTCCCTATATATCTTTCGATTTGCACGAAATTTGGTGCTAAGTTTCGTGAGAATCGGTTCAGATTCAGATATAGTTTCCATATATATTTTCGTCCGATTTAATGTAAATTGTGCACTAAAGACCCAAAACAGTTTTCAAATTATTGTCTGGACTATTTTAAAGTCCCCATCTTGTTTCAATTCCCAAACTTATTTATTACGTAGGGTACAAACAAATCTGTTTCAATTCGAATTTCAAAAACAAAAAAAAAAAACCGAAAATAAAACCAAAATTTTGGACTGTCCCGAAAAAAACTGAAACGAACTGCAGCCTTTTTTAAATGTTGGACAATTTACAAAAATAAAAGTAATAACATATTGAAAAACCAAAAGCAGGACAAAATTTCACAATTGCACAAAGTGTGTGTGTGTGTGTTTTTTTCGAGTGTGTGTGTTGTGTATGAATAAATAATAGTAGTAAAGTGCAAAATAATAGTTCAATTTTGAAAAGTAAATTAGTAAAAACATGCCATACGAAATAGAGATACATTGACAAGGCAGGCAAAAGAAAAAAAAAACAATTTTGTAAAGCGAAAAAATTGCAACTAAACTTACATCCTTGTATTTGATGGCATTGCGCTCAAATTCCTCATCGGAGGGATCACGATTTTCTTGGAGGCCACACAAGGACATGGCAACGAAATCCAAATATCTAAAAGAAAACAAAAATAGATAAAATTAATATAAAAAGTTCTCAGAAGGTGTTTAAGGCATACATACTTTCCATCGGGTGCCTTGCCATCCTCATAGTCCGAGTCCAAACTCTTTTGACCCTCCAATGAACTGGGCGAATGCGGCAACGAGGTACCATTACCACTTTCACGATCATCATCTTGACCGTGCAAATTGCCACCAGCACCCACTGCTGGTGAATTTTCTTTGGAAATTGATGCTGAATTTGCATTCGGTATATACATGGCCAACATTTCGGGATCCATGCCCTCAGCATCGGCCAAATAAATACCACCATCCGTGCCTTGTTTACGCATTTTGTTATTTTTCTTCATAAAATTAAACATATTACTCAACATGGAGTTGTGCTGTGCCTGGGCCCGTGCAGCCTGATTTTCAGCATTCACATCACCCTTGACTTCGGGTGTGGGTAGTTCGCCCCATTTCCATGAGGCCGACGAGGTCATAAGATCACTATCGGTTTCCTTTTCACGCAACGATATCTCCAATTCACTATCACTTTGGATGGGCGATGAAGGGCGTCCAGCACCCCTACCAATACCACAGGCACCATTACCACCCGATGAGGTAACTTCGGTATCCGAAAAGAAATGTATATCTAAATCGTGTATACGTGAGGTGGTTGGTGTAATGGGTGATGTTTTGCATTGCTGCTGTTCACGTTCGGAAATTTGACTTTCATCACCGGCAAGAGCGGTCACAGCTTCAACGGACTTGGGTGAAGCTTCATCATTTGATGAGTTGGTGGTGTTATTTGAGATCGATAGAGAGCTAGTGTCGGCATCTTCGGCCGCTTTGTTATTTTCGTCTGTGGTTGGTGTACCATCGACGGGGGTGTTGCTACCCAGCGAGCTGCTCGATGATGTTTTACGTTGAGCATTTTTCTTTTTCATTTGAGACTTCTTGCGGCGTTTCTTTTTGCTTTTCGATTCCTCTTTAATGCTATTTGTGTTGGAGGATAATTGTTGTTGTTGTTGCTGCTGTTGATCTTGTTGCTGTACATTGATTTTATTATCTGTGGTTTTGGATTTATCGGCAGCAGCAGCACTTTGTGATGTTAGGGTGGCATCTAAGGAGGAGGTTTCCGCAGCTGGTTGTTTTTTCTTGGCTTCTTCGACAATGTCATCTTCTTTGGTTTCACTTTCAAGACGTTTTTCATCTGTTTGAGTGCTGTTACTCCAATCCTGGAAAAAAGAGGGGCCATTAGAAATAGATTAGAGATTTTGAAAAATAATTTTTTAATAACTAATTTTTAAAATTTTTAATAATTATTTAACAAAATTTGAAGGAAACACCTTTTCATACACAGTTTAGAGGTTTTTAAAATTAATTTCAAATATTTTTTTATTAGGCCCTTTGCTCCGACTTTACTTTACCTTATCCTTATCAATTGCATCGAATTGAAAGATTTCTTCATGTTCAGCCCATTCCTGGCGCAATTTTTGTGTGGTATACTCTTTGAGTTTTTCGCTAAGGTTACGCCTTTCCAGGGTGTTATCAGTATGTCTGGAATAAAATAAGTATCATTGATGATAGATTATCTCCAAGTGGGGGAAAAAAGAAAAGGAAATCAAACAAAGAAATAAATTTAATTGTCATGCCAAAAACATTCACATTTTATTTTTTAATATTTTTTTGTTGTGTTTTAATAACTTTCATTTGTTTTCAAAAAATACTACCTTCTATGGCTATAATCGGATATTTGATTTTCAAATTTATGCGATGGTTCATCCGACTCCTTAGCTGACTCTTTAGAGAAATCAATGGAATTACGTCTGGGCAATGGCAATGTCATGGGTATTTGCAGCGTTTCACTAGCATTTCTATTTGTAATGGATGGTGGTGGCCGTCAGCGTTTCAAGTAATTGTTGTTGTTGTTGTTATAGTTGTTGATTGGTTGATAGTTTTGTGAATGAATAGAAAAATTGTACAAAAAAAGAAAAAAAGAAGAAAATAATGAGGAATAAAGTATAACAAAAGAAATTAAATAAAATTATGTTATATAAACTAATCTAAAATAAATAAATGAACTATTTACAGTGGTATATACAGCAATAAAGGTTTAAAAAAATAATAAAAAATAAATATTTACTGTTTTTAAATATAATATATAAAAATAACTAAGGATTATAAAATATAAAAAAGTGGGTTGCACACCATTTTCATAGGGAACCCGTTTTCTAGATGTTGTCTTTTTTAAAGTAAAAATATCCAATTTGTTTCGATTAAGTAGTTTTTTGAATTTTAAATAAATATAATTATATATTTATTTAAAATATTATATATTATATTTTTTTTTTTTAAATTAAAGCAAGAAGTTTTCATTTAAATATATATACAAAAAATTTTTTAATCTCAATCAGAAATCCGTTCTGCACCAATTTAAAAAAAAAAATCATATCTAAATCTGAACCGATTCTCACGAATGTTAACCCACATCATTCTAGGCTTAAGTTAGTACGCAATGCCAAATTTCGTGCAAATCGAATGATATATAGGGACTTTGGTACACCATTTACATTAAATCGGAGGAAAATATATATGGGACCTATATCTAAATCTGAACCGTTTCTCACGAATGTTAACCCACATCATTCTAGGCTTAAGTTAGTACGCTATGCCAAATTTCGTGCAAATCGAAAGATATATAGAGACTTTGATGCACCATTTACATGAAATCGCACGAAAATATATATGGGAGCTATATCTAAATCTGAACAGATTTTCACGTAACTTAACACACATCATTCTAGACTTAATTCAGTACGTTATGCCAAATTTCGTGCAAATCGAATGTAATATAGGGACTTTGAAATCAAACGAGAATATATATGAGAGCTTTATCTAAACCTGAATTGATTTTTACCAATTTCAATATGGTTCGTCCTTGGGCCAAATAGATGACCTGTGCCAAATTTCATTCAATTAGGATCATAAATTTAACATGGACAGGCAAACAGACGGTCGGACGGATATGCATAAATCGAATCAGAAAGTGATTTTATGCATATTCTCAAAAGGAACACTGGGCCTATCTTGTTTCCTTTTGCCTGTTACAAACATATGCACAAAGACATAATATCCTGTACCGCAGTGTGGTCAGAAAGTGATTCAAATTCTCACCAATTACTTCGTTTACATAAATTTATCGACAAAAATATAGCCAGACGAACGGATAAGCTTAAATCGGCTCTGAAAGTGATTCCAAGTATAATCTCAAAAGTAACAATGTGTTTATATTTTATAATTTTATAAATATTTCGAATCTCTTGAGGAAATTTTTACAAAATATTTTGAATTCTAATAGAAATAATCATAAATTTTTGCTATTTGTTTTTTCCGATATCATAAAGGAGAAATTGTTATCGTAATAAAAAACTGTACATACAGATATAATATTTACAATATATACTTTTAAAACTGTGAATCTTGAGTTTTAGACCATTTTTTGGAATTAAAAATACTTTGATTTGAATTTGAATTGCCCATGAAAATGGTGTAAAAATAAATAAATCAACTAATTTATTTAATATAATAAGCAAATGATTGTATTGTATAATGACGCGTGTATGTATGTGTGTGTGTGTGAGAGAGGTGCAACAAATTCTATAATACATAATTCAATTTAAGATTTGAATTTTGAAAACGTTTGATTTATTTAAATTTGCAAACAGTACGGCCTCAACTGGGCAATCAACCACTTCTTTATTAAAAAAATACAATTATTATTAAAAGAGGTGGGACACATAAAAATGGAGAAATTTGTTTTTCATTCAAATTTTAACTGAAAATATTAATATTTTTTTAATTGAGTCTCCCTCATCCTTGAATATGCTCATAGCATATTTTTTGTGCAAAGGAATTGCTACTAGTAGCATGATTTAATTTTGAAACAAAATATAAAATATTTTAGTCTAAAGTCTCAACCTGAAATAGTTTCAAAGTAAAGTGTAGGTGCAGCAAAGGTCTTATAAGAAAAACACTTCACAAAAATTTAAACTCTTAGGAGGTGTTGGTTAGTGAAGAAAATATTAACCCCTTTCAGGTCGTATTTCACAAAATTTGTAACTGTTTTTTTTTATAGAAGATAGTTTGGCGGAGAAAATAAGAAAAATTGTAGGCCAACTGTGGCAAGAACATTTTTGAACATCTTCCAGGCCACATCCTTGGTCGTATTGCAATAATTTGCAATGTTTTCTTCCTTTTAGAGGTAGGCATATTTAAGCCCGTACTGTTGAAAATTTAACCAGGAATTATTATTTCTTTGAAATTATTTTGAATTTAATTTGTTCGTGCCCTGTGCGATTGTGCCACATTTAGAAGAGACAATGTGCTGTTGATAGAATATTGCATGCATGCATTTGTTTGCTACTTTGTTGTTGTTTTGTACGTACTTATCTAAATCGTTGTCATTATCTAAACTAGTTCCATTTTTTAAATATTTATCGGGAAAATGATTTGTGGGTATGGGCGATGTTGCCATATTATCGGGTAGCTCTTCGACATCTTCTTCGGGGCATTCTTCAACGAAAAACGCTTCACCAGATTCGCCCAATTTCATGTGTATGTCGACGGGTTCGCCATTGATTTCAATGTCGACCTGAAAGGAGACGAAAATAATTAAAGAAATTAATTTTGAATTTTTTAGTAAATAATAAATATAAATATTTTATAATACAAAATTAATATATTTTGAGAATGTTATCATAAAAATATTTTTTTTTTGTGGCAGAGATGATTCACTTTGGAACAAGTAAGCGTGCACTATATGGAAATTCGATAGATAGAACTTTAACCTTATGAGTTTTATAATAAAAAGAAAATCAGACGACCCTTTAATTGCCTCTGAATATTTTTGGTGGCAGGGATGATTCATTTGGGAACTAGTAAGCGTGCACTATATGGAAATTCCGATAAATAGAATTTAGAGTTTGGAAGTTTTATAACAAAAAAAATTCAGCCTGACTATTTTGCAAAAACAAAATACAAATGGTATCCCAAATAAACCGCCAACACTACAAAAAAAAAAAAAAACATTAATTGTCTTTCAATAATATCTGTGCCAAAGTTTTGTATGACACATTTCTTTTAAAATGTTTATGATTTGAATATTGCAAAAAAAAAAATAATAATAATTACTCCAATGACAACAACAACTACTACTGTTTTCTTTTTAAATTTCTTATCTATGGCGGCCCATAAAAATATTTAAAATAGAAAAAAAACATTATCGATAATTTTTACTGTCAGGCATGTTTTGTGTATGAGAAAGAAATAGCAATATACTATTTATGCTGTTCGAATTCTAATCTAAATTCTAATCTAAATGGGGGAAATGATTGAACTTCAAACTATGTAGAATAAGAAATTGGGGATTTTAAAAGTAGAAATGAAAAAAATCGATGAGCAAAAAGGGGACTTTAAAAAATATTATGATATGATATTGAAATTAAATCTGTTGGTGGTTTTTTTAAGCCTACCAGAGGCGTGAATTTCTTAAATGAAATTTTTTAAAGGACCACACTAGGCATAGCTTTTAAACCCGTTTTTTCAAGCACTACCAGAGGCGTGGTTTTCTTAAAGAATATTTTTTCAAGGACTATCAGAGGCGTGGATTTTTTTTAATGAATGTTTTATTCAAGGACTGCAGCGGCGTGGATTTTTAAGGAATATTTTTTCAAGGACTATAAGAGGCGTGGAATTTTTTAACGAATGTTTTATTCAAGGACTGCAGCGGCGTGGATTTTTTAAAGAATATTTTTTCAAAGATTTTTAAAGATTTTTTTTGAGGACTACCACAGGCGTGGATTTTTTGAAGAATATTTTTTCAAAGATTTTTAAAGAATTTTTTTGAGGACTACCACAGGGTGAATTTTTTGAAGAATATTTTTTAAGGATTAGAAAGACGTTGATTTTTTAAAGAATATTTTTTCAAGGACTACCAGAGGCGTGAATTTTTTAAAGAATATTTTTTCAAGGACTACAAAAGGTGGTAGATGTTTAAAGAGTATTTTTTCAGGACTACATAGGTGTAGATTTTAAAATAATATTTTTTGTAGGCAGGTAGTGCAAGTTTTTTCTTTTGAATTTTTAAGTTTTAGCAACATCTTCCCGCCGAAGTGGAAGAAATACGACATTATGGGTCTTTGCAGAACATGGTCCATGTCTCGACAGAGCCTCCATATAAACGTCCGAACCCATTTTAAATAGTTTCATGATCCCAGGGGCATTTTCCAACCGAGGTGGCTGTAAATGGGTCTCACATGTTCTTAATGTGTAAAAATTTCTTTGCAAAATATTTTAAATAAAAAAGGCCAACCCTTTTCTAACAAAGTAGGTTAAGGTTTTGGCATAATCGACTTATAAAACCCCTTCTCTCACGTTGGGTACATGAAGTTCTTAGCCGAATGGTCCAACCTCAGTGTCTGTAATTTGGTACTTCGTTTTCTTTGAGGCTCAAAATACCTCCTGGCCGAAAATTTACAATAACGATTTTAGAAATGTTTAATGCGCATAGAGGATATAAAAAGGTTCGATCCGATTTCATGAAACGAAGTTTTTATTTGTTAAAAACAGGGTCTTCCGAACGTAGTGGAAAAATATGGCCTTCCTACATAAAATACAGTGGAATTGTCTTTTATTATTAGAAGACTCCATAGGACATCATTTACACCAAATGAGACTTCCATAGGATAGGATACCCTATTTTTGGGAACATAGAAGGTCATGCACAAGACATCGAAGATTCTTCTATATATGGAAGACTTAGGGTTCTTCTATACATTGAAGACTCAATATTATTCTACACCTAGAATACCATATAGTCTTCTTATGATAGGAGAAACTAGACCAATAAAATTAAAATGAAAAAGATATTTTCTTTAAAGAAAATTGGTCATAGGTGGTCTTGCATACATAGTAACCCAATAGGATATTTGATAGATAAAAGTCCTATGAGGTATTTTTTTTATATAGGGCCTTTTATACATAAAATAGGAATATGGTCCTCTAAAGATAAAACGCGAATAGGAATTTCTGTATTTATAGGGTCTTCTATGGTCGACTATATCGACCTTCTGTCTAGTGACGGCCTTTTCGAGCTTCTGTCTATTGAATTTTGGAGTTGGTTTTCTATATATTAAAGTCCTATAAGGATAGGAGTTGAATGGGACCCTCAATCCTGTCCAACTAATTTTTATAAATATTTTTTTTTAATTAAAAAGGTCTTCTCCATCTATTGAAGATATATTTGTTGCTTTATCCTATTACGATAGGAGTTAAATAAGACCCTAGATCTATATATTAAAGACCTATTGGAATAGTAGTTGAATGAGACCCTCTATCGGGTCCAATAAAGTTTTATTTTTTTAATTAAAAGGGTCTTCTATGGGTGAACATATCGGAAGACGCATTAGGTCTTCCATCTATTTGGTGCTTCATCCTATTACGATAGGAGTTGAAAGAGATTTTCTATCCGGTCCAACTAATTTCTATATATATTTTTTTAATTAATAATTTTTCTTTAATACTCTCGTTACTCACCACTTTCTCACGACTCCTGAGGACACCCAGCTTGCCGAAACGCACATGAAATGGTGAACACTGGAATTCGCCATCGGGCTGCTCAACAACAATTACATCAATGGCTCCCGTTAGGGTGGCACCATTGATTTCACTGTAGAATTCCTTAAAATTACTGAAAACTTTTACCAAACTATTCATGTTGTTGGAGTTGTTTGTGTGTGTGTGTCTATAGATTTAAGCTTCGGATGAAGATACTTTGATGTATCGGATCTCTGCTGATAAATTACTTTGTGTGATGTTGCTCAGCTGTTTTCTAACCACCCAGCTGCAAGTATGTCCGGTGGTTTAGTCAATGACCAACTGAAACGTAAATTGGCTCAGGTGTTGCCTTAACTTCCAATCAATATTGCCAATAATAATAAATATGAAGTATGAAAAAAGAAACGGCGACTAACTGCTATCGTGTGTTTTTTTTATTTTTATGGCAAGCGTATTGATGAGGAGGTTCTGTAGTGTGTTATCGCTCCGATCCGTATCGATGATTACGTTTTATGGGGGTGATGTATTGTTGCTGTCGACGCAATTTTTTTTTGGGAGACGTCAAACACCTAACGTTCAAAAGTTCCTGTTACGAATATGTGTCCTCCGCAATTTCGTCGTACTGCGAAATTCCTCAATAAAAAAATTATTTTATTAAGGCTATTTTATTGCTCAGCGGCAATTTGTTGTTGTTTTCCTTTCTTTTCTCGGCTTTTCTGTTCAATAAATAATTGTGTGTGTTTTTTTTTTTAATTTATTTCTTGGCCATTTTATGTGGAGTTATTTTTGTTGCTGTTTTTGGTTTAGCTGATATCTATCGATCATTCGATATTCCTTCGGCTAGTTAAAACATTTCTTGTTGATAATTTTCCACAATTCAATATCTTTTGTCTAGCTACTCCGATGGTGTTGTTGTTTTTTTATCTGCAATGAAAAAAAAATGTTGAAACAATTGATTATTAATTTTGAAAATTGTTTGCAATTTTTTTTTTGCAATTTGCTAATATTTAATACAATGTTTTTTTTCGCCTACGATAAGAATATACTTATTGTGTGTCACACAATCTATAATATATATTTTGTGTGTGTGTTTTTTTTGTACAAAGTCCATTTGTTGCTAGATGAATCATCAATAGGACCATTACTTAATATTAAATTTCATGTTCATTTAGTTTGACATCAGTTGCAGTGGGTAACAGTGGCGAGGTGATGCAAGTCGATATATAACTTGAAGACCTATAACAATCGGAAAGCTCTTATATATCTTTCCATTTGCACGAAATTTGGCGTAGCATATTGAATTAAGTCTACAATGATGTGTGCTAAGATTCGTGAAAATCGGTTCAGATTTAGATATAGCTCCCATGTATATTTTCGTTCGATTTTATGGTAATGGGGCAACAAAGCCCTTACATTTCTTTCGATTTGCACGAAATTTGGAATAGCGTATTAAATTGAGTCTAGAATGATATGTGTTGAGTTTCGTGAAAATCGGTTCAGATTTATATATAGCTCCCATATATATTTTCGTCCGATTTCATGTAAATGGTGAACCACAGCCCTTATACTTCTTTCGATTTGCACGAAATTTGGCATAGCGTGGTGAAATGAGTCCAGATATATTTTCGTCCGATTTTATGTTATTGGAGCACTAAAGCCCCTATATTAATTTTGATTTGCACGAAATTTGGCACAGCATATGGAATTAAGTCTAAATTTATGTATATTAAGTTTCTTTAAAATCGGTTCAGAATTAGATATAGATCCCATATATATTTTTGTCCGATTTGATGTAATTAGTGTACCAAAGTCCCTATATTTATTTCGATTTGCATGAAATTTGGCACAGCGTGGTGAAATGAGTCTAGAATAATATGTGTTAAGTTTTGTGAAAATCGGTTCAATTTTATATATAGCTCCCATATATATTCTGGTCCGATTTTATGTAAATAGTATAACAAAGCCCCCAAATTTCTTTCGATTTGCACGAAATTTGACACAGCATATGGAAGTAAGTCTAAAAGTATGTGTGCTAAGTTTCGTGAAAATCGGTTCAGATTTAGAAATTTTCGTCCGATTTAATGTAAATGGTGAACCACAGCCCTTATACTTCTTTCGATTTGAACGAAATTTCGCATAGCATACTGAATTGAGTCTAGAATGGTATGTCTTAAGTTTTTTGAAAATCCGTTCAAATTTAGATATAGCTCCCATATATATTTTCGCCCGAATTTATGTAAATAGTACACCAAAGCCCTTATATTTCCTTCGATTTGCATGAAATTTGGCATAGCGTACTGAATCGATTCTAGAATGATGTGTGTTAAGTTTTGTGAAAATCTGTTCAAATTTAGATATAGCTCCCATATATATTTTCGTCCGATTTCATGTAAATAGTGTACCAAAGCACCTAATTTTCTCTCGATTTTCACAAAGTTTGGCATAGCGTACTGAATTAAGTCTAGAACTATATGTGCTAAGTTTCATGAAAATCGGTTCGGATTTAGATATAGCTTCCATATATTTTTTCGTCCGATTTTATCTTACTGGAAGGTCCCATAAAATATTTATAGAACCTAAAAAAATACCTATGCATAAAAATGCCTGTATTGCAGCCAAAATGTCTTCCTATTTGTTACATTCCTAATCTTGTTCAGCCTTCTTCTGATGATCTACATTGGTTCCGAATAGTCTGGTAATGGTCTGTAAATATCATCAACATGTGCCCAAGGTTGCACAATATGGATTTGCATGCTTATTATTTTGTTTGAGGCAATAAGACCAATATTTTTGTCTTCTTTTTCAGATTCTTTTTTTTTTTTTTGCTAGACAAGAAAACACGGGACTAGAAGAAAAAAATAATAAGAACGACAACAACAACAAAATATATTATGAAAACAAAAGTCTAAAGGTAATGAATGATGTTCTTATTTTATTGTTTTTGAAAAAAGTGGCCAACAGTTTTTTTTGGCAATGACCAGCAATTAAAGAATCTACAAATGAGCGGAAAATCGCCAGAGCATGTGTGTGAATAGATTTTCTTTATTTTTCTCTAATTGATTTTTCCTTTCAGGGAAACTAGAAGAAGAAAAATCTATAGTATGTACGTACAGATGTGACATACAAATTGCGCCGTTAAAAAAATAAATTTTTATGAAAAAATTTGAAGAGAAAATTATGATAATAAATATTAAAAAATTTAAATACAATTTTGGTAAAAAAATATAAATATGTAAATTTTTAAGAAGATTTTGGTAATATTTTTCACATCACTAAATTAAATGTGAAAAAAATTAACGAAATCTAAATAATAATTTAATTTCATTAATGTAAAAGTTGGTTCATAAAAAAAAAAATTAAAAATTTACAAATATTTAGGGCAGAATGGTTAAAGTATTCCAAAATCCCGCCCTCCAAAATGTTAAAATTTATCTCAATAAACAAACTGTAAATAAATAATAAACATACACACAGTTTACAAATATGGATGTGTGCTGAGACCCTTATCCCCAAAAGTCTACCCACAGTCCTAAAAAATCTGAGTATGTATTTCCAAATCCAAGTGGTGGGTGTGAAATTTTAATGAAAAAATAAAAACAACAAACACAGCTGCACTTGAACTTGACATTCAAATTTACGCAATGCAACTACATGGTCATGCGTCAAGTTTTGATAGCTGCGGAACATATAACCATAGCTTTTTTATTTTAACCGGCCTTTGTTATTTTTGGACTTTGTCATCATCATCATCATTAACGTGACAACTGGTATGTATTTGCCTTGCACTTGTAGCCACGTGTTGATAACATATGCAGAGAAATATGTACATAACAAAAATAACAACAACAAAAGGAAAATACTTGCAACAAACTATGTGTTGAGGAAACCCTTAAAGTGTTAAAGGCAATGTTGTTATTTAAGGGTTGAGGGTGGGTGTACGAAAAATGCTTAGTCTAGGGTTTTGTTTCTGGAAAAAATTGAGCCCCTAGAAATACACTAACATATACAGACAACCTACATAGGTAGACAATACTTTTTAGGTATTAGAAACGAAAAATTCCGAACCTGTCGTAATAAAAAATATGCATATACTCGGGGCTTTGCAAAAACATAAACCGAAATTGATTTTTTGTATGCAGATTTGATACCCCAGCAGAACACAAAATATTTAATAACAGCCAATCCGGTTGAAAACCCTACCAAAAATCATGAAAATGTCGAAAAATCGGAGAAAAAATTCTAGTTTCGGCTTGCCATCACTTGGTGGAGTGACTTGCCACTATCCTAGACCGCAAGTTACTGTGGAATAGGAATGTTGAGGAACGCTCCAAGAAGGGATTGCTGGCACTCTATTCATGCAAGAACTCCATAGGCAAGAGTTGGGGATTGAGACCCGGAATTATACACTGGTTGTATACGACGATTGTCTTACCCATACTTACTTATGGTTGTCTTGTCTGGTGGCAGGGGGTGAACAAAAAGAAGCTGCTGACAAAACTGTACTTAGTACAACGATCGGCTTCAATTCTGATCACCGGAGCATTAAGAAGCACACCACAGGCAGCCTTAAATGCAATCTTGAATCTCCAAACATTCCAGGCGGCCAGGTGTGCCCTGAGACTCCGGGAAACAGATGCCTTGAAATCGCTGAACTATGGTCAAGCCAGCATCCTAAACATAACACCAGATTATGACCTTTTTTGGGGGGGGGATAGTCATATCAGTGATTATATTCCCCTCCATAGGGACTTTAATGACATCAAAGTTAAATTTCCTAGAAGGAAATCCTGGACTAGTGGCTCCCTACCTCTGCCAGGTCTGTCAATCTTCACAGACGGGTCCAAGATGGAGGAAGGCACTGGTGCAGGCGTCTACTGTAGGGAATTAGGTATACAGAACTCATATAAACTCAACAATGACTGTAGCGTTTTTCAAGCAGAGATTCTCGCAATCACGAAAGCGGCCGAGATAGTAAAAGCACTTAATGCCGACATTACGGGACCGGTGACTATTTATGTAGATAGTCAGGCGGCTCTGAATGATATACGACAAATAGTTGGACTATGCTGGGTTCCAGGACATAACGATATTGAAGGGAATGAGATAGCCGACGAGCTTGCTCGAGGGGGGTCAGTCTTCTGATTGAGAGATCTGTGAAACCCCCCATCAGCTATTACATT